TCTGCAGGTAAAAATGCCTTATTAGAATTTTGTGTAGGACTTTTTGCCTTGTTCCAGAGAGTGTACAAAGTGAGATAATTGAGAGAAAGGGAAAATTATAAAAATTAGACAGAGTCCTCTATGTGATGGATACACTGTGTCAACTTGTGTTATCTTTATGAGAATGTTCGTAGGTACAAAATTTCCTAGTAATTTTAAGAGCTGAGTTGAACTAGAGTGAAGAAAGGTGAGATGAACTTTTATGTGAAACTCTTAATTTATGGAACTTTTATGCCTTAGTGGCATAAAACTTAAAAATTTATTTAACAGTTTACTGGTGGTGGGAATGAGGGAGATTTGGAAATCCTGTTGTATTAATGTATATTTTTTTCTTTACATTGGCCTCTTGAGTTCATTTCCCTCATTCTCGACCATTGGACGTCAAGTTAAATTATTTTTTATTATACTAATTCATAGAACAGATTCGAGAGACTGAATAAATTAATAGCATGAAAAGTTTAAATATCTCTAGGGTTTTCACCAGGTCTGATAATGCTTTTTAAAATCTTTTATGTAATCAAAGATTTATATTGCAGTTAACTATATATGACAGGCTTATCTTTTTTACGGGTTTAACTTTGTGATATTAATTCCCCATGTTATATTGCCACTATCCATTTTCAAAAGATTTTACATCACCCAGAAAGAAGCAAAATGCATTTTTAAAGTCATTTTCCCCCTTCTTATAGGTGAGACTGATTTTGAGATGATAACAAAAGGGCAAGTTTGTGAAATGACCAAAGAAATTGCTGACACAACAGAAAAGTACCAAAAATGTAAACAACTCTTGCAGGTAAGTTTGCTACATTTATTCAGTATAAATAGCTTAGCTTATGTGTACTGTGTTGATGGATTGGTATCCTGTGGCTTACTTTTCATTTTTTCATTTATTAGTATTTAGTTTCATATGTGGAGTGCTGAGGAAAGTGTTTTGATTACCTGTTTGTAAATTCATGATCTTATAGTTGTTAGTTTCTATTTACGTAATATTCTTCTTTCTGAGAGTGGGCAGGTGCTTGAGATCAAATGTTTACTGTCTGCTTCCCTTCTTATTGCTATGAAAATACATGGGAAGTGTTTAAACTTCAAAAAGGGAAAGTGCTTATTTTATATTTACTGTAATTGTAGCAAATGTTTTCCATACTGTAAAGTTGCCAGATTTACAAAGTAGAAATAGGGAATGTCTTCCAAGTGAGTTGTATCCTCTTATAGAATATTTTAATTATTTTAAATAGTATCATCCAGGCGTTCTGTTTTGCAGTGTTATTTGTAGCATACACTCCTGGAGCATTTAAAAAGACAAAGAGAAAATGCTCCTCATTATGCCATGGTTTGGGGGAGGATGAAAAAGATCTATTCTGTGTTTATTTTTTTTCAATTTTGGACGTTTGTGTTTCTGTATGCTTTTGGTAAATGCTAGAGCATCAGAACAAAGCTTGCACATCATCTGCTCAAAGTTACTATGGTAGTTAATTTAAAATATTCTTTTTTCCTTCGAATTAATGGTAGAAAGACTTTCTACTCCCTTGAAGAGTTACAGTCTTGGAACACACAAGGGCTGTTGGACCTTGCCCTACAGGGTGGTCATGAATTGGAATCAACTTGATGGCAGTGAGCTTGGATTTTGTTTTGTTTTTTTATCTAATTGATATTAATATAATTTTAAGTCAAACTTTAAAGGAATACTTCTTCAGAAGATCTTGCCGTAGAATGATTAATTAGAAAAATTTAAACCTTGAGTTCAAAATAATTTAAAGTACTAAACTTCATTTAGGGATCAGTCACTTCTAGATGAATGCTTTAATAGCTTCATAATATTTACTACTATCATTGAAATGAATAGAGATTTTCCTTCGAGCCTCAGTGAACATTTATTATGTTTTTATACTATTATATTGAGGTAGAATTGAAATCTAAGTGGTGCATACTTTTCATCACTTTTCCAACCAAATTTTATGTGACCATTTGTAATTCATTTCTGTGTCACCAGATTGACCCATTTTTGCCAGCTTTATAGCACTTCATATAAATAGGCCCATCTTCCGCCCCTACACAGCTTATTTCAATGTAATTAATTATTTGGAAAGTTAGTCAAATTTTGGCTTATACCTGCAGCTTATTCCTTTTTATTGTTGAAGTAGTTCACTGGTGTTTGTCCATTCATTAGATGTTGGGCATTTGATTTACTTTGAGTTTTTAATCAGTTACAAATTAAGCTGCTATGAACATTTATATATGTCTTCTGTCAATTTTGCGTAAATATGTAGGAAAGAAATAGCCAGACAGTATGGTACATGAATGTTTAATTTTATAAGAAAATACCAAGCTGCTTTGTAAGGTGGTTGTAACATTTTATATTTTCACAGCAATGGAGAATGATGGTGAGTCTTTTTTACTTTAGCCAGTCTAGTAAGTGTATGGTGCTAGCCTATGTGGTTTCACTTGTGTCCCTAATGAGGATGCCAATGAAGTTCACTTTTTAATATCTCATTGGTCCTGCTTACAGTCTTTGGGGGTGGGGGGGCAACCGTGAGAATTCTGGGGTTTTTTTTTTTCCATTTTAAAAATAGGGTTATTAATATTGTTGTAAGAGTTCTTTTGAGGTAAAAGCTTTTGATCAAAGCATGAATATTTTCTCACATGTCTCAGTTTTTCTTTTCTTTTTTTTAATCGTTTTATTAGGGCTTCATACGACTTATCACAATCCATACATAACATCAGTTGTGTAAAGCACATTTGTACATTCATTGCCCTCATCATTCTCAAAACATTTGCTTTCCATTTAAGACCCTAGTATCAGGGCCTCATTTTTCCCCTCCCTTCCTCCTCCCCCCTCCCTCATGAGCCCTTGATACATTATTATTTTGTCATATCTTGCCCTGTCTGACATCTCCCTTCACCCACTTCCTGTCATCTGTCCCCCAGGGAGGAGGCCACATGTAGATCCTTGTCATCGGTTCCCTCTTTCCAACCCATTCTCCCTCTACCCTCCCATATCGCCACTCACACCACTGGTCCTGAAGGGATCATCCGCCCTGGATTCCCTGTGTTTCCAGTTCCTATCAGTACCAGTGTATATCCTCTGGTCTAGCCAGACTTTCAAGAGTTTTTCTCTTTTTTTTTTCATGGTAGCATGCTCACCTCAGCTCCTCTTGGTGGTACAGGGAAGGAGAGAGATTTATTGCTAACCTCACAAGACTTTTTCTTAATGGTGATTTTTGAGGACACTTTTTTATTTTGAAGTGTACAGTTAATTTATTCTTTTATGTTTTCTGCCTTTTAAATTCTAAGACTTTTGTCAAATCCAAAGCTGTAAAAATTTTCTCTGTTGTTTAATATATATTTTATACTCTTAGATTTACATGTATGTCTATGAACCTAAATGTTAATTAAAAAAATAATTTTATTAGGGGCTCATACAACTCTTATCACAATCCATACATACAACATCAGTTGTGTAAAGCACACTTGTACATTCATTGCCCTCCTCCCTAAATGTTAATTTTTGAGCATATTTTGAGGTGTGTTTGCGCGTGCTATGTTATGATTATTCAGTTGTTACATCATTATTTGTTGTTTCTTTTCCTCTTTGAATTACTCAAGACAATTAAAAATTTCCATCTGGAACAAAACAAATGTAAATGAAATGAACTTACATTATTTTTAGAATTCGTACTTTGTTCACTTTGACTTTTTGGCTTGTGGAAAAGAGCAGTCTGTAAGAAATCAGACTAAAGATTGTCTTTCTCAGAATTTTTGTAATCAGTTCCTAGGACCACCAATGTTATGAACATAATTTTTATTACCTACCTTTACATAAGTAACATGTGCTTTCTGTAGAACATTATATTACAGAGGTCAGGAGTTATTCACTGCCATCAAGTCTGCTGACTTAGCAACCCTAGAGGACTGAGTAGAATTGCCCCTGTGAGCTTCTGAGCCTGTAACTCTTTATAGGCGTAGAAAGCCCTGCCAGCCTTGGAGCAGCCGGTGGTTTTGAACTACTGATCTTACAGAGCATAGCCTAACTCGTAACCACCACACCACGAGGGTGTATTGGTTATTTCAGTTTTTAACAATATTATAAGTATTCTGCATCTATAAGTATGTTGGTGAAGATGTTTGCTATATGGTATTAATTTTTTTGTGGTACTGATTGCTTTCATTTAGGAAGAGAAAACAAAATGTAATAAATATGCTGATGAGCTTGCAAAAATGGAATTGAAATGGAAAGAACAAATGAAAATCACTGCAAGTGTGAAACTACAACTAGCTGAAGTAGAAGACAATTATAAAGTAAGTTTAGTTCTCATTATATGGTAACTTGAGGTGTACGATACATCTGAAAATGTGTTACTTGTAATATTTTATCAATCTAGTGTAAGGCTTTAATTTGGATCTTTGAGATAGTACTTTCATCTATAAATAAGACTGTACTTTTGATTAGTTATGTTTCAGTCCAGCCTATTAACAATTAGCTGAGAAAATAGATATACATGTGTACTTGCCATTATGGCTTTTATTCTGTAAATTTACTTTTTTTAAAAGTTGATCCTCATAGTCATTATAAAGAAACCATGAATGTATATTTAAAATTGTTCTAGAGCCTTAACGTTTTTTTGGTAATGTAACTTAAAGAATTGGTAATTTTATAAATTTATTGAGATTTTAAAAATGTATCACCCATGTGTGTTACCTGTGCAAAACCTACCTATTATTGTTCACTTGATTCCGACTCTTAACAACTCTACATAGGGTTTATGAGGCTGTAAATCCTGATGGGAGCACACTGTTGGTATGCCTGCACCACTTATCTTATGGTCAGATGGACTTGAACCATCAGGGTTCATGCATAGTTGGTTTAAAAGAAGTGGTGGTAACAAATGGTGTCTCATTGTGAATCAAGGCATGGACAACAACTGTATTAATAGTTACTGCAGTCATCACCACTATGCATTCACATGTTTTTTTTAAAATAAGTCATTTTATTGGGGCTCTTACAACTCTTAGCACAATCCATACATACAGTTGTGTCAAGCACATTTGTATATATGTTGCCATCATTTTCAAAACATTTTTTTTCTGCTTCGGCCCTTGATGTCAACTCACCCCCCCACCCCCACCCAGTTTTTGTTTTTAAAAGCAGTTAAGAAAATGTGGTAGTAAAATCTATTAGTTGTATTGATGCCCAATACTTGGATACATGTCCTTCTAGTATTTTGTGTAATGAAGTAGGAAGTATCTCCAAATCATTTCTGCCTAAAGGAAAGAGGCTGGAAAGATTTATAGTTTTGGAAACCCAAAGATTTAAAGTCTCAAAAAACCTATTTTGTGTTATAGAGTCTGCTACAAGTTGGAATTGACTTGATGGTAAGGAATTTTGCTGGAAAAGACAAGATTTTCTACTCCTATAAAGTGTTATAGCCTCAGAAACCCTCAGGGCCGGTTCTAGCCTATTCTATAGGGTTGTCTGCCATGATTCAAAATCAGTTCTATGGTAGTGATTTTTTTTTAAAACAGAGTTTGGTCTCAAAAATAAATCAAGTAAGCCTGTTAATGGATAGTGTTGATAGTATTTGTTGCCAGTGGTAAAATGAAGTTTGCAAGTAAAGAATTTTATAAATGTGTACCTGCCATATTAGCTTTTAGACTCTTGTAATGCTGTGCCGTGGTGACCTGTGTCTTCCAAATGACCAGTGCACGACGATAGGATAATGGGTAAAAGATCCATCCAAATAACAGGATCCCTTCAAACATCACGTGACCAAACCAATCCCATTGCCATTAAGTTCATTGCAGCTCATGGCAAACCATATAGAACTGAGTGCAACCACATTTTTAAATTTCCGAGTCCGTAAATTTGGTGGGAACAGACAGCCTCGTCTTGCTCCCATGGAGTGACAGGTGGGTTGCAGCTGTTGACTTGGTAGTTAGCAGCCAGTGTGTCAATTCACTGTACTGTCAGAGCACCTCGGTCATTATCAGAATGGCTGAATCTTTATTGTTTACACTCTGCCACTTCCACATTTGTGCCTTGGCATTCTGTTATTTGGAAGGACCTTCCCCTATTCTTCGTTGATATATGGTGCATGCTTTAAAACATTGGTTTGTGAACCAATTGGGCTTCTCCAGAGAAACAGAATATGGTATATTGTAGAAAGATAATTAAAGGGAGCTTCAAAAGTTTGTGGGAATATGGAGTTAAGAAATCGTGGCATTTTTCCCACAAACTGAAGTCTCTTTGTTTATCTTCATACATAGTCACATACATATTGCATACCCACACGTATTTTGAGGAATCTGTTTATGCAGTTATTGGGCTCTGAAAGGTGTGGGGTGAAAGGGACAGATAGAAAACGTGGGTTTCCATTGTTTGGAGGAGAGGAGGGCAAGTGTATGTGTAAAGTTGCTAAACATTGTGAAATTCTCTTTTACAGAGGTTAATGCTTTTGTATTCCCACTAAATATTTGAGAAGTACACTTGTTTCCCCACAGAGTGACAGCTGGGCTTTCTAATTGTTTGTTGCTGCTGTGGTAGATGAAAAATGTTATCTCTTATAGGTAAAGTTGAGCACTTTTTATGTGAGTTGTTATGACTTTGGTCTATTCTGTAAAAATGGTCTTTTTCGATACTATCTCTGCCCCCCTCCCCCTTTTTTTAAACTATCAGCTTTAAGGAGCCTAGTGTCATCATGGGTTCCAAATTGTGTTGTTAACTGCAAGGTCAGCAGTTTGAAACCACCAGCCTGCTCCAAGGGGAAAAAGGCCATTTTCTCGGAAATCCACAGGGTCAGAGTATTAGCTTAGCCCCCTTTCTATGATAAGTATATGTAACCAAGTGCTTTTCTCCCATTTTATAATTAACAGTTTCACTGCGATCTACTTTAGATTGCATCAGAATCACTTGGAGGGCTTGTTAGACAGACTTTTACATCCTGACCCCGAGTTTCTGGTTAGGTAGGGCTGGAGGGAGACTGGTCTCTTTGGGTTCCTTCTGCCTTTTCTAGCTTTTCTTATAAATTGAATCCTATAGAACATTTCCATTCACTGGTTAATGGGCATTAATTAATTCACTACTTGGTAGACATTTGAATTATTCAGATGCTTTGTTGAATAATACTGCTATGTGGTAAGTGTGTGTTTAAGAAACAGCCGATTGTTTTTCAAATGGCTGTAGTGTTTTGTATTCCCACCAGCAGTGTACGAGCACTCTAGTTACTGCATATCCTTCCTCACCAGTATTTGGCATTGTCAGTCTTTAATTTTAGCCATTCTAAGTGAGTTTGTAGTGTTACCTCCTTGTGGCTTGAGTTTGATGTGGCTTGAGTTTGATGTTCGTGTTGGCTAGTGGTGTTGAGCATCTGTTCACCGGCCCTTTATATATGGCTCCTCTGTGAAATGTCTGTTCAGATATTTACCTGTCGTTTTGGGTGGCTGGGTGGGGGTGGGAAAAGTTGTTGGTCTTCTTGGGTTGTTTGTAAAAATTCTTCATGGTTTTCAGAGGAAACTCCTTATTGCCAAGTGTATTTTCTCAATCTGTGGCTTAACTTTGCATTAAAACATTAAAAAGGAGTTTCAAAGAGTTAGTGGAAAAATTCCATTATCTTTAGCTCCACATACTTTATAGAAGCTCCCCATTTTCTTTTAAAAGAGCAAAACTTTATGAAGTAGCAATGAAAATAATTTTATGGTTTGGGGGAATCACCACAACATGAACTATAGTAAAGGGTTGTGACATTGGGAAGGTTGAGAACCACTGCTCCAAATGATTAGATTTATGATCTGTTTAAAGTTAATTTTTGTGTCTGGAATGAGTTCTTTTTCTCAGCATGTTGCTACCTAGTTTTTTTGAAGCCTTTGTTGAAAAGACCATTGTTTTCCTCCAGTGAAACTGCCTTTTCAAAATGTTTGTTGAAAATCAATTGACTGTGTAGTAGGTGTGTATATTTAGATGATCTTCTATGTTTTATTGATTTAGACAATCAGCAAACCAGATCTAAGCTTTTCTTGCTTTTGTAAAGTTTCTATTGGAATATGGCATTCTCATTCATTTATGCATTAGGTAAAATTTTTTTTTAAACTTTATTTTTATTTTTTTAAAAACATTAGGGGCTCATACAACTGTTATCACAATCCATACACACATCAAGTGTGTAAAGCGCATTTGGACATCATTCTCAAAACATTTTCTCTCCACTTAAACCCCCGACATTAGGTCCTCATTTTTCCCCTCCCTCCCCGCTCCCTCCTCCCTCATGAGCCCTTGATAGTTTATAAATTGGTATTTTGTCATATCTTGCCCTGTCCGACGTCGACGTCTCCCTTCACCCACTTCTCTGCTGTCTGTCCCTCAGGGAGGAGGTCACATATAGTTCCTTGTAATCGGTTCACATTAGGTAATTTGAACAGTATTTATGTGGCCTTCATGGGGAAAAGGGAGCCCTGGTGGTTCTGTGGCTGCTAACTACAAAGTCAGTGGTTTGACAGCACCAACAGCTCCTAGATGGGCTGTCTGCTCCCATAGATTTATAGTCTCAGAACTCTTCATAGACTTACAGGGCCGCTAGGAGTTATCAATTTGATGGTGGGTTTTGTTTTGCTTGGTTGTTTTATTTTAATTGGGGTTTTACAGAAGAGTTTGGCAAGCTCTAATCCATTCTTTACTACCAGGATTACCCAAGCTCTGTAATAATTTTGAAATTACATGTGGTATAAGCCATCCAACGATTTGCTTGTGTAAAATGGGCTATTTCAATTCCTTGTATTTCAGCATACTTTGTCAGCCTGCCAGTTTATATGTGAGCTGGATTGGAATTATATTGAATTTATGTCAATTTGGACAGGACATTATGAAACTATCATCTTCAGTCCATGAATATGGTATATCTTTGTTTTAGGCTGTCTTTAATTTTTTCCTGCAATGTTTCATCCTTTTAGTGGGTCAGATCTGGCCATTCTTAGGTTGTTCATGCCTGTTTTACTTATCATTACAAGAAGAGTTTAAAAAAATGTCGTTTGCGAATTGTTTGTGGTTTATAGAAATACTTATTTGAAAAGAAACCTCTTTGCTTTCTTGTTGATTTGAGCCACTTCATTAAAATCAGGTGTTGGGTTTTCTTTTTAGATTCCCCTTATCAGAGGTTGAGGAATTTACTTTTTCTAATTTACAGACACTTATTTCAAAAATTTATAGGTATTGAATTTTTAAATATTTCATCTGAATCTACTGGGATGATGATGCCTTTTCCCCTATTAACATGACAGATGGTGTTAATTTTTGGATGTAAAATAATTTGCTCTCTTGGGATAAAATCCACTCGGTCATTAATTTTGCAATGTTGGATTTAATTTGCTAATGTATTAGATTTTTGAATCAGTATTCATTAGAGATATTTGTTTGCAGATTTCTGGTGATGTCTTTGGTTTTGGTATCTGGTCTTGTATAAAATGAGCTGTAGAGTTTTCCACCCTTTCTATTTTTCCAGTGTTTACACAAGTTTAGTTTTTGGTCTATTTTAATTTGTTAAAGGTTCGATAGACTTTACCATTGAAACAATGCTTATTTGTTTATCTTTATTTTAACTAATGGCCAAGTTGTAAGAGGTCTACAGTTTTCTCTTAAATCAGCAAGTGGGCTATAAAGGATACTTACTTGGCACAAATACATTTCAAAACACATTGGGCTATATCCTGTTTTCTGATTTTGGTTATATGCTTGGAAGGGGCATTTATAAGAACATGAGAGCCAACCCTCTCAACTAAATTCTGGAAGGCATGCTAGGGAAATAAATCTTATCATTATGTCTTGGCTAAATGTTTAATACTGTCCTTATAAAATATTTTATTGCTTTGCTCACTCACCTTTGTGTTTGCTACATTCAGGAAATTAAAAGGAGTCTAGAAAACCAAGCTGAAAGGAAAATTGAAGGCCCGAATCCCCAGAGCACAGAGCCGATCTCACAGCGTATCCATGAGTGCACAGAGCAGAATGGTCAGGTTCCCGCCTTGTCCGGTACACAGCCAGCGCTGCAGTATGGCAATCCTTATGCAGCACAGGACATAAGAGGTTTGCAAAATATTTTTGGTTTTGAGTTTGCTGATTCTGGAGGCTTTTTAAAAGTGGAATCAGAGAACGGATTACACAGTCAACTGAAATGGAAACATTATTTTATTTGTATACTAGTTTTAATGTCGAACTTGTTACTGGACTCATTAAGAAGTTATGTTCTGTGAAATAACAATCTATTTTGCTCATTGCATGTAAGCCTTGTTTAAAAATCACTTGGGTTAAAAATAAAACCCCACTTTGTTAGGGTGACCATCAGGTTTCACCATAGTCTTCAAAAACTTTCGCTGCAGATGGAGCGGATGGTGCCTTTTATCCAGATGAAATCCAAAGGCCACCCGTGAGAGTCCCCTCTTGGGGACTGGAAGACAATGTTGTCTGCAGCCAGCCTGCTCGAAACCTGAGTCGACCCGATGGCTTAGAAGACCCGGAGGATGGCACAGTAAACGGACTTTTTCTCTTCTGAGTCTCTCCCCTTGACGCTCTCTCTCTTGTCGAGAGGGGGCCAGAGCTGGGCACATACATGCATATCGTGTTACTTGCCTACTTGCATTTGACTTGGGCAAATAAACAGTGTATAATGGTTACATGTTAGGCTGCTAACCACAAAGCCACCAGAGAAACCACCAGCCGCTCTGCCAGACAAAGTGTAGGCCTTTTACGCCCATAAAGGTTGACAGTCTCAGAAATCCTCAGGGCAGTTCTGCCCTTTCCGATAGGGTCTCTGAATGGAAATAGACTGGAGGGCAGTGAGTCTGGAGTTTCAGACATGTACTTTATGATTTATACCAAGTGAAAGATTAAGTCCAAAGAATGCTTTCAGAATAATAGTCATCAGATTAATTTTAATTACCAATTATTAAATAAGGTATTATATACTTCTATTTCATTGCATATAGATAAAACTACACTCAAGGAAGCAAAAAGCAAAGTGTTATTGACAATATTATGCCGAAGTATGTCTAATTTTACCATTTATATGCCACTTTGAAATTTTTAAACTCATAATTATCTACCTATAGTAGTGGTCTCTTAGAAATAATCCTTTAGACATCTTTAGTGTTTAGGTAGCGGTTCTTATTCTTTGGTAGCAACACAATGCTAATGATAATTGAATTAGTTTGTGTAACTTGCTGTGGTTTTTAAAAATTTCATCGAAGCCATTTCTTAACCATTTAATAAATAGGTTCTTTCCCTCATAACAATGCATGTTGAACTTGCTGTGCAGTAAGATGAGTTTAAAAGAAAATGCTTTATCGTGCTCTTTGCAAGTACAGCAGTATCATGACCTGTTTCTCATTTCATCTAGTTTGCTGCATTTAATTGCTATTAACCTTTGCAGAAACTGATCAGTGTTCAGACAGGCATGATTTTAGCCCTAGTGCTCAACACCCATAATGGAGAAAAATGTATTTCTCCCTCCTGCCTTTTGGCCTCCTGTGTCTGTTACTGAGAATAATTAGGAAAACTGTCAGAACTTTTGTAGCCTGTTTAAGGTCTGGAGTACCACCTTACTGCTTTTTCACACCTTTACTTCACAGTTTGCATATTTAATCTGATCATTCTTGGCACAGATGTTACATGTGACAAGCCCTTCTCTTCCGTAGTCATCTGCTTCAGTTTAATTAGCAGAATGTTCTTTCTGATCTGTGTGCTTTGCCCTCCTGCAAACCCAAGAGAAGCAATGTTAGAGTCTTGTGCTCATTTGCTGACATACTTAGATTTGGTAATGAGATGGGAGGACTCTTATTATGCACACCTTGGTAATTGTACTTTGCAGTCACACAGTTTTTAACATTACACAAAAACTAATTTTTATGTACATTCAGAACTTGTTCAAATTTCCTGTCATTACAACAATAAAATGCACTTGCTGATGAAATATTTTCTTTAGTAATTTTAGTAAAAATAAGGAAAGTACATTTTAGTTGACCTGTTCCTTTTCTGTTTTCTCAGCCCTGGGAGTGGTCAGTAGCCCTGTGACCCCACGCCTAGGAGTCAGGGTTGAGGGAGCCTACTCTTCCATTCTGTTCAGCAACCTCCCTCCTTTCTGCACAAGAGAGCAAAACCTGTTTAAGACTCTTTTGCTTAAGAATTAAGAATAGCAGTAATTATCATGTAATTGTGATGTTGGTAATAAGTTTTCTAGATGTCCTATACGTCAGGCCATGAGTGCTCAAAGCTCTTCAGATCCGTTCCGCTGTAACTCTTCATAGCAGCCTCGTGAGGCAGGAACTGTTGCCACCTCTCTTCTGTCATGGACAAAAGGCACAAGGAGATAAAATCGCTTGCCCCAACTCACATCAGTGGTGAGGGTAGAGTCAGGATTTGTGTCTCATTCACTTGGTGGTAGGAACTGGACCTAACCGGCTACAACATAGATAAAACCAGATTCCTAACCTGTCTAGTTCACAGCATCCATACAGCTTTAGGCTTGGGGCAGTTGTGAAAAGGAAAACCCGAAGGAAAAAAACAAAATTATGTTTAGTGATTTGGTTCAAAGTACTCTGTATTTATGACCTAACCCAGGTAGCCTTTAGAAAAAGTAGTGTATGTGCACTGAAGAAAAATATACTTTTAAATAACCAATTTCTAATAGGATGCGTGTGCCTGCTGGCCACTCTACTACTTCTCAAGACTTAAAATCAAGATTCTACCACATTGATGTCACCTGGAAACCCTTGCTGTGGGCTTGACATCAGCTCAGAGACTCAACTTGACGGAGGAGACCTGCCACGCAGGGGTCCCCAGGCTGTAATCTTGGCAGGAGCAGACCGTTTCCTCTTTCAGCCTGCAGCTAGTTCCCCGCCCGAACCCGCTTCTCCAAGAGCTGCTGCCCCTGAAGGAACTAGCGCTCTGGGACGCTGAGGCTGAGCTCGCTCAGACTGGTAGAGTCCTTCTCAGTAGATGACAAAGGTGCCCATTGGTTTCCCTAGGAAATGAAATTAAAATGAAAAATATTCCTGAGGGTTTGTACACAGATTTTAGAAAATGGGTCTAAACCACACAGCTCAGGAATGTCATTCGGTCTTGCTGTCTCCAGGGAGCCTGCTAGAAAGTGGAGGACTACTGACCCCAGACTGCATTGAGTGTGGTTCTCGGGAGATGCGCAGGTCGAAACTGTCCTCCCTCCTGAGGCCACTTTGCTCCCTCTTCCCTTACCGCCCCTCCTTTCTGGTCATTTCCACGGCCTGGGCAGTGTTCCCGTCCACCACGGGAGGCCTTCCTTACCCAGCCCCACCCTCCCTCTATCTGCAAAGACACGGCTCACACATTCTGTTCATACCTCCTCTACCTGACTGCTTTCCACTAGAATTCTTGGCAGGGAACTCCAGAAATTGAAAGTGAAGAGAGATTTTTTTTTTTTTTTTTTTGGTGGACAGGTT